AGCGGAGCGGGACCACCTTAAAAACAAAAGCGGTAATGGTCATCAAAGGCGTTTAAAGCTCTTGCTCCAGTTCCAGTGCATCGCATTCGCTGGATAACATGCAGACGGCAGTGACGCAAGGGCTGCGTTGGACAAGCGACTCGGTGCACGCTGACTGCTGAGCACAGAGAAACCTGCTGCTGCTGCTTTTCGACCAAAACATCGAAGAGCAGGAGCCATTTGTCTGTTGAGATCCTCGCAGGTTTTTGCTGGAGCTATGGTTTAGGCTGATAACGGGTAAGGATGGGTTCTTGATAACAAAAGCCTGCATGCACGGATTGCAGTTTCAATCCTATTATATAAACAATGCATGCAAATTATTATTAGATTTAAGTATATATACATGATCTAATTGAGAACTACATGTGTGTTGGCAATAAAATTCCAGGACAAAACTGCCCATTTGTTGGCTTGAGGGTCTTTGGTGCAGATTTTAACCCCTGCTTCACTGGAAGCAGCGTGTAAAGAGACACTTTAAAGGCATTTGATGCAATGCGACGTGATGAAGCAGCTCAAGTCTGGAATTGGCTGCTGAATGCATCGTTGTGTATTTTACAGTCACGGATCTGCATGAACACTATGGCTGCAGTGGTGAATTATTCTCCGCCGTGGTGGGTTAACCTTTTCCATCGCCTCCCGCACTTCAACCTACAGTTTCAGCTGACCAGCAGCGATTTCCGCCCGGAGGACTCGGAATATCAAAAGGTAGGTCGAGTTCAAGTGCCAACATCGAGATCTATCTGTGCGTGCGGAGCGGCAACATCAAAGGATGTTCTCCAGCATGACGTCACCCTTTGAAGGCTTTTACTGCAGTGTGACAACTAGTTAAGGGTTTGAGATACTAGTTGGTGAGTTATAGCATTCAGAGTGTCACATATTCCATAAGTTGACAGCTAAGTGATGATCATTATGAATAACAAACACAAAATGTGGAATACATGCACCATTTTGATTATACACTGTGGAGGTGTCCTAGAATAGTCAATGATAATGCAGTCTGAGAGTGCTTGTCAATTTAAAACGGTATAAACAGCAACAACCTTTTTTTTTTTGTGCTGGTTAGTAGTACTGTTGACCAGGGCCGTGCACAGACCAATAACAGTGCCGTTGAGCTCTGTTTGTTCCAGAGCCATCAGATATGGAGTACACACTGTTTGGGGTTGATCTACTGTGTGCTGAATGTGGGATGGGGGTGGGGGTGGGGGGGTGTTGTTAGCTATTCACATGACTAGGGAGGTCTCAGTGCTTATTGCTAATTCTACTGAAAGAGATAAAGAGAAAGAGATAAATATAGGGGATCAAGATAAGACATGAAACATAAAGGAGTACAAACAGCCGGGTCATCATTATTTGCATTGCTGACACAATTTGTCATTGAGAATAATTGCTTAAGACTGGCAGGTCAATACTGCCCCCCCCCCCCCTAATGACAAATGAAATAACACAAAATAATAGTCTCAAAAGCTTTAGATTTAATCACTATTAATAACAACCATAATATATATATATAGGGTTTCTTAGGTCTATAGGTCTACATGTTATACACTATTATAATGACATATGATATGGCTTTTAAAGACTAAACTTTAAAGTTCAATAAAACTACATTTGAAGAAATTTTTTTTTTTAGCTATGTAATATTCCTAATGTATTACATTATGCATGATAAAATATAAAGATTTCACAGTGATTTGATTCTGTCAAGTTTTTTTTGGTTACAACAGCATTACTGTAGTTGCAGTATAACCATGTTTTACTACGTTTATACATTTGAAGACGAGCAGAGAGTATAGAATACCTAGTTCAGCTGCTGTGGAACTTCAGTTCATTCAGTCAAGATAGACGGGGTGCAGTTATGAGCGGCACTTCAGAGTGTAAGGGCAAAAAGGGCATGTGCTCTGCACAGGTTGAGCCCTACCTGTGCACGTGCCTGCTGTTGACCCAGTAGCTTCATTAGTACTAAGCAGCCTAAGCTATCCAGAAAATCCATGCTGGTCTTTTTTTTTTTACGCCTAAAGAGTGGCGTTGATTTATAATCAGTTTTAATGACTTCACCATCTCACCGAGCTCCTCATGTTGCACACGAGAACAGACTGTCCAATCAATGAACAGTTACTGTCCAGAAATGATGTTATGCTTAGGAGCCGTGTGGAGATTTGTGTATTTACCCACCCACAGAAATGGATAACAACACACTGTAAGAGACATTATGTGCCTTTGCATATATAATGCCTTTCTCCATGTAGAGGCATGCAGGATTGCTGTTGTATCTCAGTTGCAGCATCATTAAGGGAATGCTGCTTAAAATTGGAAAAGCAACCTGTCTGTCAGTATGGTTCTTGGTGTAAACATCCAATTAGATGTTTTAACATTGTCTAAGCAGGTCTGCTCTGTGCATGGGTGTTGTGTATTGTGTCAGCATTACATCACACTATCAGAATGGTATTAACATGTTTCTTAGGCATAGCACTATTGTATTTTGAATGTTCTTTAAAGCTTATGTAAGCTCTGTAGCATGTTAATATGAAAATGATTCAGTATTTGGTTGAGGCAATGTAGCTTAATAAATTATCTGTTTTTAACCTTATATTTTCAATATTTATGTTGTTAATCCTATGAAAAACCTTAAAAGAGTGATCTTTTTTATTTATCATTATTTAATTAATATTTATTTTTTACTTTTTTCTTTGTTATTATTATATTTTTTAACTATAATTTCAACCAAACAGCCATTGTTGCCAGGTAGATCCAAAATGTACATGCAAATCGAGTTTAAAATAATAAAGGCATGTTTGAAAATGATATTTCATAATTTTCTTTTTATAATGTGCACCAGTATAACCAGGCAGTATTTACTTGCATTTAGTTTTATAAAAATGCAGAGAATTCCGCAGCATTTTGGAGTGATGAATCGGTTTAAGAATTCATGAATCATTTAATTGAAATAGACAGTTTGAACTGATTCATGCATTTCAACACTCATACCTGCGAGACAATGACAATACTAGTTTGAAAAAACAATATCTAGGAAACTTAATGGCCAAACAAAAAGAGCATTAAAATCATTGTGAAAAGTTGCTTAATTTGATATTTTTACAGTCACAAATGAAGCTGAAGTATAAACAGGGGCTGGTTTTAAACAGTCTAGATTTTTGAAGGAATGAAGTCTATCATTTTATTCAAAGATTGGAGTTAGGATATTTTGATTAAAAAAAAAGCACAAGTTCAAAAGAAAATTAAAAACTAAAACACATGCATGAATGAATTGTATGCAGTAAGATCAATAAAACGCATTTCAAAAATAGGTAAATTGAATTTTCATTTAATGCAAACTTTAATAAACTAATCATACATGTTTTGTGGATATTCTATACATTGCCCAGCAATGGTATTACCATCTGACACAATTGTTGTACCATGGTGCTGCCACAGTATTTTTTATTTTTTATTTTTCTCACTGTTTTAAGTTTTGGAGTTTCAGACAGAGATGAAGGCCAGGGAGACACGTTTTAAGTTCATATCTCAAGAAGTGCTGTTTACTATCCCCTTCATAAAATAAGACTATTTTGTCAAAGGAGCCATTCTCCAGAGGACCAGTAGGAAATGGCATCCAGCTGTGTGAAATTGCAGCCATGGTTGCCTTTGCTCACTAGCTATAGCGGTCACTGACCACATCCAGAGCTCTCCAATGCTGTATGGTAAAATGGCCAACAACAGTCACTTGTTTCCAAAAAAGAAAATTGCGATGGAAAGAAACTCAAGGCAATTGATCTCCCATGTTCAAACATTGTGGTGTGGAGAGATCAGATGAGTGTAATACAATACTGCTATCGTTAATTTGAGTTCATTTAGATACATCAGTTCATTAATTACAGCAGATTCGGTTGGATAAGATTTCAAAAGCTCTCGGCATTCATTTTTGTTGTGAATAGTTTTCCAAGGTCAAGAGACATATTATAAGTGATTGAATTCAACTCAGTGCTGAAAGCCGAGTGAAACCGGTGTAGTAATAGTAATAACTTTATTTATCCCCTTGGGGAAATTTTGTTTCAGTGTCTTGTTTCAATATGAGCGCACGTACTGGCACTTTTAGCAGGGTTGTGATAAAGAGTGGCACGGTTACCCTGAAATATGACTGGACCCCACTGGATCCCCCAACATTATAGGGCTAGAGTACTGTCAATACATTTAGATGACCTTTCAGATTTATTTAATTATTAAAACCTTTATAATCTATAATAACATTAAACCTATTTCATGTTTCCTCTAAACCATTTTTTTTCGGTATCAAGATCAAAGGCACCCTGTGCAATTATATTTATAAACGTTTCTTTTTTTTATTATAACAATACATTCAATTAGAATAATAAGACACAGTCAGGAAGCATAAGATACCAATCAAATAAAATGAGTATCAATAAAATTCATCCTTGCACTACAGAGGTGAAACAGAAGAACACAAAGGTGGCATTTAGGTATATTTACAGAATGTTTAATGAGGCTCAGAGGTGGCATGAATTTAAGTCACTTAATATTAACTTATTGTTTATTGAACTGTTTTATAAAATCAATATCACATTTGCGAACTCCCTTGATAATCATTAAAATGCTGTCACTCATCTTAGTTCATTGTGACCTCAGAAAACTTCCGTTGTAATCAGTGAAGCTCTCTACACTGTACAATAAAATTCTTATTTACATCCTGTCTACTCTGTTTGCTATAATGAGAGGATTCAATTTTCGGCAAAAATCACGGTTCCAGTTAGAACTGGAACTCCGTCCCCCCGCGTTCCCCCGCGTTCCCCCCCATTCCCAGCCCTTATTAATATGAGCCGAGGTCATAAAAACGGAATGTTAAATAACAACACAATAATTTTAAAATACTATATAAAATAGTTATAGTTTTAGCTGAAATATAGAGTGTGTCTTTTTAAACGGACACCTTTGTAAACAGATTTTTCAACTGAAGCAGCAGTCCAGCTCTACTTGCTTTTAAATGGGACAAAGATGGCACACATGCACCCATATGAACACATAGCCAGTGCAATTTCAGCAATATTCAGCCCCCAAGGCCTCCCTTCAACCACCCTCAAAACTGTGCTTACATCCTGGCACCGAGAAGAAGACATACATATGCACTTTTGGATAGAAAACATCTGTGCGGTGGAGGGTTCGCTTGGATCTCAGGGCACTCAGCACAATAGTTTGTCTGCATCTGGCCCACCAGTAGCTGCCAAAACATGTCAGCACTTTGTCCTCCTCATTTCTCTGTACTTTAATGCCACATGGACTTCATCCACAACCACACTGGGTGTCCTTATGTCTTTCTTTTGAGAAGATAATAGTGATTGTCTGATTTACTAATGATTTGTTCTTTTGAATCGGTTCTTTTTAATGAATCAGTCAAATTGGTTCACAAAGTGCATGTAATTCGCTTGACTTCGAGAGCTTTGTTTGGGAGTTATATTAAAGCGGACGACATGTTAATACAAGAAATAACACAACTTTTTACAATCTGTGTAACTTAATTGAGAACGTGGATATAAACATTAGAATTTAACTAAATATTTAGGACTGTTTCACAACAACAGAATAGCGTAGCCACACAGGGACTTCTTGGAATACTGTTGAAGGGATAGTTTACCCAAAATATTTTTGTCCATACAGTAAAAATCATTGGGGTCCAAAACAACACTGGTCCTCACTACCATTTATTGCATTTCATTAAAAAAAATAAAAAAACAACATAAATTATATATTTAAATATTATGTAAATCATGTTTATTTTATATTCAAGGATCTCAACATTTATATGCATGCTCTGAAATGTTTTATTTTATTTTTTTAACCATTATTTTAATCAAGCCAATAGGGGTCGGCAACCTTTTCGGCATTACTTTTTCTGGTTAACCACTGTGCCACTGTGTGTGTTTTTTTTTTTTTTATTTTTAAAATGTTTTTTAAAA